CAAATGCTTTATAATATAGTATAGATTAATTGTATGCTAATATGGTTTAAAAATATAAACAGTAAATAAAATAGAAAACGCAACCCACCTTGCCTAGTCCCGGTGCGTATTTAGTCAAGCGCTCAGACTCGATGTCGTACTTTAACATTCTGAAACACTCTAGCCGTTCTTGAAGAAACATTGCATATGTTCGAACCCATGCAGAGCAATCCCAAGCTTTTTTTTTTTCCCGGACATTGTTATGTTAGACAATAAACAAGACAGTTATTAACACATACGTATAGTTCTAAAAGAAGGGTTCATGTTGTTTTTACCAAGAGAGCTCGAATCGTCTTTGAAATTTGAGATCTGAAAAACATGTGATCGATGCATGTAATTCAGTAACTCTTCTTTGAACGACGGATCACCTTCCCTTAACGTCCGATGAAACACTATCAACGTCTTTATGGCAACCTACATAAATCAAAACCCGTCAAGAAAAAACCACTCAAAGAATGCAAGGTTCACGACAAATTAAATGAGACTTTTAGCGACGCTGTAGTTCATCGTAAACAATCAAATCCCATTACGTATATATGTTCTAAGTTTTTCCAGAAAGACATTACATACGCGTCACTGAAATTGATAAACTATTTTGCCAAATCTTTTGCATCGTAAATAAAATTTAGCCGAACTGATGAGAGGTTCCCTGGTGACCTCTACTGACATATCTTAACCTTTAATGATCAAATCTAGACAGAGTTTGGTAGTAGCTGAATGATTGAGTGCGTGTTCATAAAATAATATTCAAATGCAAAGGAAATAAACATAAATATGGCGAAGAAGAAGACTTTACGATCCAACTTCTGGTCTTCAATAATCTCTTGGAAAGTGCATGAATACAATACGCGACATCTGCTCGTGGTGCAAGGGCGCATGTGGCAGAAAAAATCTCTACCATCCAAAACAAAACACCGACGCTCAAATCAGATCAAGAAAATAAAAACCGAATCGATTATCAAGATCAAAGATTCAATAATTCAGCCAAATTATGGCATGAGATATTCGATAAACGTAAATTTTCGATCAGATATCAGCTTTTTATATTCTGTAACTGTATTTACGTAATCAATATAGAGACGTATAACATCAATTAAAACTCACTTCTAACATGTCGTTCTTTTGGCAAACATTCGACGTGATTCGTAGCTTTGACGATGGCAATATCCAGATCCTTCGATCGAAATATACCAAAAATCCAAATTAAAAAAAGAAAATCATCAAAATTAAAATAAAAAAATGAAAAACAATAAATTGGAATTAGAACACACCTTGAATTCGCTATTGACCTTTGCAAGACCAACCTTGGTGGAGTCCTTGAGAGCCCCAAAGGCTTTTCTGAAGCTTTCAAATGTACCCATCAAATTTCCCTGCAATTTTATTTATTCATTTAATCATATGTGAATATGGATTTCAAATCTGATGAATATTGGGGAAAAAAGGGTTTTTGTCATTTGTTCCTCTTTTTTCTATTTTCTGGTTTGATTTCAACAATAAAATGTGACTCTATCCAAATTTATGATTAGAGAGAGAAATTAAATCTAATTGAATTAGATTTGGTGATAATTTGTTGTATAAATCACAAGGGTGGTGCCTGATTGGTTTAAGCTTAGCTCCAAAGGTCAAAAGTACATGTAGGTCCCATGTTCAAATCCAAGCACGAATAAAAATCCCCTTGTAGTCACGGAGGTTCAAATGCGGTGACTCCGGGCTATCTGCAAAACAGGTGGTCGTACTGAGATTAGTTAGCTCGCATAGCGGTTTGGATATCCAAGTTAATAAAAAAATTGTTGTATAATATTTTAATTGTTATTTTTAAGGTATTACAAAAATAATTTGGTCATAATCTTGAAAACAATTATTTAAGGATCAAGTATTATTGATCAATGTATATTTCTTAAAAGGGTAAATGTAATTACTTTTTTTTTGAAGTGTATGATATTTATATACGATAAATGCAATAAATAAACTCACACACCTTCCTTATATTTGGTGAGCTTTGAACTCATGACCTCTTAGGAGGCCAAAGGCTACACATGCAACAAATAAACTCATACACTCTCAGTTTTGGTCTCGTTCTTACCAGGTAAGATTTTTGGTCCTTACCATATTCATTCGGTAATGTAATATAACTTGGTAAGCGTTTACCAAAGTAAGCATTTGGTAAATGGCCCCTAAATCTCCCAAATTCCAAGGCTTCGCACAGACAAACATAAGGGCTTATTTTGTTTGACAACCACCACCACAGTACCACCACGACGACCACCACCACCACATCTTTCTTCTTCCTTCTCATCTTGCATGATTTATAAACACCGTAACACCCTCATTTTACTAAGACAAATGCTACGTTATCTTAATAAATTCTCCATAAGTACTCTAAAATGACCGTTAAATTAAAACAGTTTACAGTGGAAGACTTTAAAATAATAAACATGTAACTTAAATGCTAACCCGTCATATACTGGGTTGCGTTACAAAATCAAGATGTCTGAACATAAATACCGAACTTAAATGGACATGACAAGTCTTTATGTGTGCCATTTTTCTTTATCTAACCTCAAACCTTTTATTCCTGAGATGCATATTATAGTCAGCTTATAAAACTTGGTAAGTTCATGGTTTGCATGAATGAAATCATTTCACATCATACATATCAACTTATAAACTCCGTCCCATATAGTATGCATTTTTGAAAACATGCAACAATGAAAGAAAATAAGATATCATAAACTGTTTGTCTAGTTGGATATGGATCATTTTGTCACTGGCATTCCCTGGGTTGTCCGAACTGCACCTGTCCGAGCACCTATTACGGAGCCATGACACTTGTCGTGTGACTTATTAGTCAAATGTCCACTAATTAAAATTCATCATAAGACTTTCATATGAAATAACATGCTAGAGTTATTTGAAAACAAAATAAACACATATTATGCAACTGATTATAAATAACATATATGTAAAATATATTGCATCATATATGTAACTGAAACATCATGCATATGTACAAATCATCATTGTAAGTAAGTATACATCCCATTGTAAGTCTCATAACGACTCACGTGTCCGTGTAGATCGAATACTTATAGCTCTTAACTGAAGACCTACACATTTCATATCATATATCCAATTAATGGTTTAACTTCTCCAAAATTCAACAACTATCTACTATGTGAAACTCAACCCGGCCTAAAGTCAAATTCCAAAACCAAGTCTCTTAATGTCTCAAATATCTTCACTTGATCGCATCGTTAAAATAATTGTGGATCAAACGAGCTAAAAGTCAACGTTTGATCAATTCGGTCAACCTCAACTAACTTTAGAGTCAAATTCTAAGTCTAAAACTCGATAACATCCCAAAACCATAAAATAATCATTTTACTATCTTGTAAATTCAACTCTTTAAATTAAAAGTGTCCCAATAAATATTTAACTCAATTACGACGCTTTAGCCAAAGGGTCTTTGACCTAACGATATCGTAGTCTTTGGCCTCCTAGGATGTCAGAGATTCAAACTTCACAAAATGTGAGGAGGATGTGTGAGTTTATTTGTTACATTTGTTGTATATAAATATTATATACTTCAAAAAAAAAAATATAATAAATCTTTATGCTTGATAACGACTCTTAACTTTGATTTATAATTTTAATAACTAAAGAATCATTTACAATATGATTATTGGTCTTCATGTAACATCCCACAATTTCCACCATACAGATAATCCACATGATATTACTCATAACACAAAATGTAACATCGTTTACAAAATACAGATTAACAAAAACTTTCTTTGATACATTTATGAGTAACTAAAAGTCATCAATTCTAAACTTTTCACTTGCCTCTATCCTGCGAGGTATGATTACCTGCAAAACAGGTTAGTCCAACAACTGAGCGTTAGACCCAAAAGGTCTAGTGAGTGTATATAACTCATACCAACAACATACTTTCTAAACTGGCAGTTTAGAATCAAACCTGTATATCACAAACATTTTATCTATATCTATCACATATCTTTTCATCTCTCTCGCGGTTACACCGTCATTTCATTTCTCTCTCGAATACACCGCCATTTCATCTCAAAAGCTTCCACACATTAGCCGGATTTGAAGTCCGGTCAACCTTGTCCGGATATGAAATCCGGACAATTACTTAGAGTAGAAAAGATAAATCGGATGGCTTGAGCGGTTTAGCTCTTAATCCGGTTAACACTTGAGCGGTTTAAGAAAATATCCGAACAACACTTGGGCGATTTAATCATAAACCGGTCAACACTTGGGCGGTTTAAGAAGATATCCGGACAACACTTGGGCGGTTTAAGGAAAATATCCGGTTAACACTTGAGCGATTTAGATGAAATCCGAATAATATATGAAGCATAATAAACCGTTTCAAACAATTACAATTGTTATACCATAATTGATACATCAAAGCATAAAACACTCACCTTATAATACTGATCGAATTCAAGTCTGCAACTTTCTCCTTCAGTCTTTATTCTCAATTGGTTTTTGCTCTCTAGAATAACAACCATTTTCCTTTCATATGCACTTGCTATAAATAGCAAGTGCATAAGCCGCATTTCCATCACAATTCCACACTCACACACACAACATTATAAAATATTCATATAAACATAAAATTGTAAATTATTAAATCCAATTAAATAACCCGAATATTACACTTCATTAGACATAGTTTAAGGTGCTATTTACCAAACGCTTACCAAGTCACTTTACTTTACCGGATGAATATGACAAGGACTAAGGGGTTGTTTACCAAACGCTTACTCGGGTAAGTGAACACCAAGTCACATTACCTTATCGGATGAACATGGTAAGGACCAAGCATCTTATCCGGTAAGAGCGAGACAAGGACCAAAAATCTTACCCGATAAGTGAGGGCAACGACTCTTACCACAGTAAGCGCTTACCGGATAAATTGTTACGTACAATACCGTTTTGGTGGACTAAAATTTTACTGAATAAGGAAATGACAGTGTTAAATTTACGGGCAAACGCTTACCGGGTAAGTGTTTGGTAAACAACCCATAACTAGAAACAATCCCAAAGCAATGCAAGTGTTTTTCTCGGATCCTTGTTTTCGGTATCAAATCTAAAMAGACGATACCAACAATCTGTCAAAGGAAAGATATGACTAGAGTACAAAAGGTCAGTTGATTGTTGCCATATTGCAATGTGGACTAACAATACACATCTCACTCGACAACAATAATCAAAAGTTACTGCTAAAATGTAGTTTGTTATTCTTCGGAAAGGTTCCAGTATTACATTTTCGTCCTTTGTTTGCTAGAAAGAAACCAAACAATGTACATAGACTTAACCATATACGTCTTTCGAGAATTGGTTAGAAAGCTAAAATTTCAACTTGATGTGATGAAACTGTTATATTTCTTCCAGACAGTTTCTTCTTACATAGACTTAACCCGGAATTCCATTAAGCAAAAAGGTAGGGATATTTCATTCGCATTTCAGATTCCGGTTTCCAGGTGGCATCTGGTCCTTTATGATAACACCACTGAACCTTTACTAATCCGACCTCTTTGTTTCGTAACTTCTTTACTTTGAAGTCGGTAATTTGTTCAGGGGTTTCTTCAAAGTATAACCTTTCATCCACTTTAATCTCAGGTAAAGGTACTGCCATAACTGGACTTATTAGACACTTGCTCAATTCGACACATGAAATGTGTCATGGATCCCACTTAATGCTAAAGGAAGTCCTAACTTGTAGGCTACTTCCCCAACCCTTTTAAAGATAGGAAATGGTCCAATGTACCTCGGACTTAACTTTCCTTTCTTACCAAAACGTACCATTTCTTTCCATGACGATACCTTCAACATCACTCTATCACCCACTTGAAACTCAACCAGCTTCCTACGTTTATCTGCATAACTTCTTTGTCTATCTTGTGTTGCCTTCATTCGTTCTCGAATTACTCCTATTTTATCTGCAGTTTGCTGAACCAACTCAGGCCCAGCTAACTGTTTTTCACCTATTTCATTCCAACATAAAGGAGTTCGACATTTGCTTCCATACAGAACCTCGAAAGGTGCTGCCTGAATACTCGAATGGTAACTATTGTTGTACGCAAATTCCACCAGAGTCATATGACTATCCCATGATCCTCCAAAATCAATTACACATGCTCTAAGCATATCTTCTAAAGTTTGGATAGTTCGTTCACTTTGCTCATCAGTCTGATGTGATAAGCTGTACTTAGCTTAATTTGCGAACCCATTTCTCTTTGGAAGCTCTTCCAAAACATAGAAGTGAATCGACTATCTCTATCAGAAACAATTGATAGAGGAAGACCATGTCATGTTACTACCTCATCAA